GCGAGAGCGGCTTTGATTCAGGTGTGACGGGGGGGCGCGGCGTGCGCGCGCGCGCGCGCGCCTCGGCCGCAACCAGCCCGTTGTGCAGCAGCTGCAGCAGCTGCGCGAGCGCGCCCTCCCCGCGCGGTAGCCACGGCGGGCCAAAGGCGTCGGCCGCCTCAAAGGCGGCCCAGCGCGCGCGCAGCTCGGCGGGCGGGCCCTCGGTGAGCGCGCCGAGCAGCCAGCGCAGCGCGCCCGACTGCTGCAGCTCGTGCGCCGACGGCGCCTGCCGCCCGACCAGCAGCCCGGCGAGCTCGCGCATCGCGGCGCCAAAGGGCTGCGACGACTGCAGCTTGACCAGCGCCGCGCACGGCGCGGCCTCGTCTGCGGCGGCGGGCGCGGCGCGCAGCAGCGTCAGCGCCGCCGCCGCGAGCGCCGCGACGTCCGCCGCGCGCAATCCGACCGACCGCGAGTGGTGGTGCGGCGCCGCCGCTTGCGGCGCGGGCGGCGGCGCGGTCGCGGCGGCGGCACTCGCTGCGCCGCCGCTCGCTGCGGCGGGTGCGGGTGCGGGTGGGCTCGACGCGCCGCTCCCGCCGCCTCCGCCGGCGGCGGCGCCGCCGTGCGCCGGCGCCGTCTCGATGTCGGCGGTGGCTTCGGCGAGGCGCGCGAGGACGGGCTCAAGGCCGTGCCTGTGGGATGTGGCGAGAGGGCTGAGGGAGGGGGTCCGGAAGGGCGCGCGAGGCGGGCTTCGGAGGCTGCGCCGGCGGGCGGTGGCGCCGACGGCGGGCGCCGCCTCGAGGAGGGCGGTGAGCATGCGCAGCGCGGCGAACTGCTCGAGCAAGGCGGGCGAGGCGAGGAGGACGCGCAGCGCGCCGAGCAGCGCGCCTGCGGGGGCCGCGGGGGCGTGGGCATGTCACGGGCGCGAGGGACGGGCGAGCGAGCAGGGGGCGAGAGGGGGCGCGCCGAGCTGCAGCGGCGAGAGGGCGGCGAGGCGCGGCGCCGAGGCGCGGCGGACGAGGTACGCGAGCACCATCAGCACGCGCTTGTGCAGCTTTGGCGAGTGCGCCGAGCCGAGCGTCGCGACCAGCGCCGGCGCGAGCTGGCGGAAGGCGTCGCTGGCAAAGGAGTCGCGCTCGGCGGGCCAGAGCGGCGCCGCGCCGGGCGAGCCGCCAGCCTTTGCGTCCGAGGCGGCGGCGTCGGAGAGGACCTCGCGCAGCAGCGCCGCGCTCTCCTCGGCGCAGGCGGAGAGGTCGACGACGCCGGCGTCGGCCCCGTGCGCCAGCAGGCACCGTACCACCTCGGTGTTGTCTTGCGCGGCGGCGATGCCGAGGGCGGAGCCGGCGGCGGAGGAGTAGTTGACGTGCGCGCCACGCGAGATGAGGAACTGGACCATCGCCACCGAGGCGGCGTTGGAGGCGGCGAGCACCAGCGGCGAGTTGCCGTCGGCGTCGGTGCAGTTGACGTCGGCGCCTGCGGCGCGGGGAGGGGTGTGTGTGTGAGCACGAGGGCGCGGGGAAAGGGGGGGGGGGGCCCAGGATAGGAACGGCACCCCGCCCTGGGATGGGGAGGACCTCCCCCCACCTTGCCTAGGACGATCCCGTCCCCAAATTCCCCTTCGGCTCG